GCTCTCTCGATCTCTACGCTATCAACGAGACTTCTCTGGATGGTACTGTACAGCCTCCAACTCAAGTACTACGACTTCGCCTCCCCGAACTTCGACCCCATCGGCATCTCCGCACAATCAGTACTCACTCGGCTCCATATCTTGCACGCCCTGAAGCACTAGAAAATCCATTTGTCCAACATCAAGATGATCGCATTCACGTTGTGCAATTACTGTATGGTGATCTTATGCCAGGCTATACGATGTATGTCAAGAACGAATACCTGCTATCTCTGATGGACCAAATGCGCGAGCAAAGAGGAGTATATCACGAGTTGCAAGTTCAAGATACAACCCCGTACTATTCGCCGGAATTGGTGCACTCTGATGCTCCCGAGAACCGACATCTTCCTTTGATCAACAACTACCAGTACTTGGCTTGGGAGGATTGGGGACCTTCGAACACGCGCTTCCTTCAGCAGGACCTTCGCTTCCAGTGGCTTAGGTATGCTTCACAAATGGGTAGTTGGCCACGTCTTCGTTGACTCGTTTTAACTTTAGGTACGTCAATGGATATCGTGTGGTCATGCCGCCCTCCGGAGGCATCAGCGACGGCCCGCTCGATATTCAGCGGCACACTGAGCTTTCCATCTACGATTTCAATGTTCGTCCAAAGCGACTTGATGATCCATGCGACGCACTCATGGAGCTTGGCCACCGCGAAGATCAGTCTGCCCCTACAGAGAGTAAGCCTCAGCGAACGTATGAGGTCCGGACCGAAATGTCAGAGATTCCGCATAATAACTTGTTCGCTGAGCCTGTGAGGAGCTCGTTGCCGTACTCTGTGGCAAGGTTAACTGGAGTAACGGGGTATACGGGATTCATGATTGATGAACAAAGGCTAGTAGGCATGAAGGTATGACTTTTAACGCAACATGTTACTTTGTATTTGGATTCTGACGTTGGTGGTGGCGTATTTTTATAGGATAATTCGTCTGGAAGCTTGGCTGCCAGCGATATCGATGTTTTCACGCTCTGAGCTACGATGGTGAATGGATTGTTTCAGTGATGTCGGTGTGAACTAGGTGAGCGCAGAATATGTATTAGATATGTTCATTGAGGCCAAAACTGATATGTAGACAGGAATATAGAAGTCGTGTACGAGTATTAGTAGGGATTCGTGTTCTTCGATTCGAGATTCACAACATGAATATGTTGTCTTAAAAACAGCTAGTCGCTATCATACAAAATTAACTAATCTCTTTTCAAGTTAGATTCGACGCTGAACAAAGACTGCAAGACACAGGGATACATTGCATTTACCAAAGCATTAGGATGCACACTTAAAAGGGCTTTCTTATTCTCTGTTACATGACCTTCAATGCTCACCTATTCTTCCCCATATTAAGGATTGTTCGTTTAGGATACTCGCTGAGCCTCCATCAAAACTCAAGCGATTCAAATCGGTCTGCTCATATGGATATTAAGGTCTTCGAAATTTACACGGCATGGTCTCTGTTTCTCGATCCTCTACTTACCTTGCGAGACATCTATCCGTCTACGACTGCCGAACTCAATACGGGACCCTAGCTGAGTGTGCCTTACAATTTGGCCAATGTGCTAGATGCATGTCGGCGGTATATTTGGGACGAAATTCCTTTCGCTTTTGGGATCAAACAGAGGGAAGCTGGAAAGGATTACAGCTACAGCCGCTATCTGTGAGTTCAATCCCCGATTGGTGTCTGTTGCCGGTCTAAAAACAAAATAGGAACAATTGACATAGTTTTAACTCCGTTGTCAGTATATCAGTGTATTCTACGAGGGGGTTAGCCCAAGTACTAGGTAGTACCGCAGCTGGTCCAAGTAAGTACCTTCAATCAAGCATTAATAGTAAGTATTTCATGTACAAAGCATTGTAACTTCCAACGTAGTCCTCTCCAGTTCTGTTATTAGATTCGTTCGATGGGCGTGAAGTTGGTCGCAATGTCCGAGTTGCTTTTCTACAACAAGTTCCTCGATGCGACGCGACCTGCCCTAAAGGGTCACGTGAATATTAGATCTCGGATGGCCCTCAGAAACTCAGACCATTGCTTTTTTGCCCGGTCCACGCTCATTCAACCTCACAGAATGTCCGCATATTTACCTTTATCTCAGCCTAGTAGCAACAAACAGCGTATGGCTGACAGCGGACTACGCCAAGACCCGGACGTCTGGATGAGCGATGGAAATGTCGTTATCACCGCGAAAGACAAGGAAGGGGTGACCTGGGGGTTCAAATGCCACAAGTCCCTGCTTTCCAGACACTCTAGGATGTTTGAAGGGATGTTCACTTTGAGTCAGCCACAGGATGCAGAGACGTACGAGGGTCTTCCACTTGTTACTCTCACGGACCCCTATGCGGACTTCAAGGCGTTGCTGCAGATGCTTTATGACCCTATGGAGTATGTGTGAGTTTCATTGTTACGAAATACGTTGTGCTGAGCGGGTGTATGGTTAGGTATCTGCCGAAAGTCTCGGATCTGTCCCCACTTGATTGGCCAGAGGAGCTGAGAGCGATCAGTGGGCCTCTTCGTCTATCGAATAAGTACGAGTTCGACACACTACACGCGAGTCTGACAAAAGTTTTGGAGTCACGTTGGCCGGTCACTTTGGAGGGTTGGGATAAAATTGTCCAGCGGATTAGAGACGCACAGGTAGAAGCGAGCGAAGAAGGAGTGGAATGTCCACTCGTGAACCCGGGTCAGTTCTCAAGCCGTCGTTAGCGTAATCATGGGCTGTGGCAGCTGACTTTTTTTCGACTATCTTTGAAGCATCCTTGATCCTGCTTGCAGAAGAGGCCAACGTACCGAGTGTCCTACCCGCTGCTTACTATAATCTCTACACACAGTGGAAAAACAGTTATCGCCTCGAAGGCCACACTTGGAAGGAAGTATGTGAAGAGTCTCACTTTGCGGTAGACCTGACAGGGTTTACTTTGGAACATCACCTACGGATGGCCGAAGGTAGTGACTTCTTGAGGACCGCTATCACTCAGCTTTGGGGCTTTATTCTTCCGACCATATTCCAGTGTCGCCGGGAGGAATGTCGCCGGGACACGAAAAAGTGGATCAGCGAGCAATTCGTCCAATATATGACTTCGCAAGAGTTGTTTTACGATCCCCTCGACACTTTGGCGAAGATCAAGCAACCTATTCCGCGTCTTGAGTTCTCAAAGGAGTACGGCATCTGTATTGGGTGTCTTGACCAGCTTGAAAATGCCATGGATGCATGCCGGGATTATATCTGGGAAGATTTCCCATATCTGTTCAAGCTGAAAGCGCGAGAAAGTGGCAAGATGTACGGCTTCCTACTCAACCTGTGCGTAATATTATTCCTTGTTGATTTCAGCGATGGCCAACGGTTAAACATACACAGGGATGATATACGATGCAGATACGACCAACCGATCATAATGCTCTAGGCAGTTTGTATACCTCGACAATGCCGTGGACATCGGTAGAGGCAAGATACTTATGAGGCGGGCGGGCTCATGAATCCCACCTTTCTCGTCCACCTATCGATGGTCTTATTATCATCAGATGCGCATAATTTATGTATACGTTAGAAACTCCATACCGTATGTCACTGAGAGAGCTGACCACCGGCCAAGTTGCCAGCATTCAAATATTCACCGGTCGCCGTTTGATGCCTCAGTTGTAAGAAGAGCGGTATAACAGACATCAGTAGATACACAGCCTGTGTCCACATACCTATACACTTCGTAAGAGCGCAGCAGACTTTCATGAAGCCTAGAAACCCATGTCGTCTTAGAGCAGGCATATCAGATAGCGAGTATTTTGAATCTAGAAAGCGGTCAAGTATACAGTCCTTGACAACTAAACATTGAAGAATCTAGTCTTCGTCCATTTGATCACGCTCCTCGACTCCTTTTGCGTCACGTCGAAGTTCTTCCTCCTCCAAGCCGACTTCATCCACTAATTCCTCCTCATCCCCGACGTCTGCTTCGTCGTCTTCATCAACCTCCTCCTCTTCAACTTCATCAATTTCGTTCTCTTCCGCATCTAGCATCTCTTCGTCGTCATCGTCGTCCCGAGATACCCTTGTTTCGACGGGCTCTACCTGCTGCGGCGGATGTTCAGGTTGAGCGGGTGTAGCCGACTGTCCGGCGCGAGAAGGTATTGTGATCGTGGCTTTTTCTTTTCCTTTGGCTGCTGAAGCGGAGTCTGGGGTGGAGGGATCTAGTTTTGCCCTTGGCTTGACGGAGACTGGCGCGCTCTCGGCAGACTTGGTGGGGCTACCCTTTTTGCCCTTTTGATTGTTACGGTATGCTTTGATACACAGGTAAGCGAGGGAAACACTGTGCGGAGGAAATAATCGTACCGTTCAAGTCTGATTGTAGTTTTTGCACCATGTCCCCCATCTCGATTTGCTCGAGGGCTTTAAGGACGTCTGACGCAGACACGCTCTTGTGTTGCTTCTGCGCTGCGATGTCGTGGGCACTGAGGAAACGTGAATAAGCGCAATGAGGCCTGATATCACGAGAACGTACGTAGCAGCTAATAACGCATAGGTCAATGAGTGGCTGAACCTCAGAGACACCGCAACTGACCGAGATAATTAATAAATACAGTCGACCCTTTGCTCAGCGCAAGTACCACATCCTTTTGAAGTTTTGCGTTGTCTGGAAGCTAGACTCATGGGTCATCCATCGCACCACGCGTATCCGTGCTCGAAGTCCTTACAGCAGAACGTGCGAGCCGTGTAACCAGACTCTTGGGAAGCTCGTATGCGTCAATGCCTTCAGAAACCGCATCCTGCTGGGCTTGAGCATTGTTTGTTGAAAGGGCGATTGCTTCCTTGCGCGGCATCTTGTTGTTGGGTGGTGGTGTGGACTCTGGAGGTGAGCAGTGAGTGGTAGTGTAAGCTAACTCGAAGCACCGAACGAGTGTGCTTGACGCGCAGGCTGATGGTGCGCATGATTAAAACGGTATATAACCCATTTCGATTCCTATACTAATGTCCCTTCGATAGCTCAGTTGGAAGAGCGCGAGACTGTAATGGTTAACCGGGCTTGAACCGTAATCTTGAGGTCGCTGGTTCGATCCCGGCTCGAAGGATTTTTTTTTTCACCTCTAGCATACATATTTAAGCTCAATTATCGCAAAACAACACGAGAAAAGGGCAGGAAGAAGGGGAGGAGGAGGATATTGCTTTAAACATCGTATTTGTTCTATTGGCGCCCATAAACATAGCGCGAGTCCGCCAGCCAAGTTAGGAAATCGCGGCAGTGCCCAAGTTCGACACCCGTATGATATTTCCGTGTTGAGGGGTAACTTGCAGAGTATCCTACAATATTTGTACTAATTGCTTCTCTGTAGGGAGGTACTCGCATATTTTACCACTTGACAGGCTTATCTGACCAGAAAGTTGACCAATGTTCCTTGCAATCGACTATGATATACTCAGTAGGTGGATATCATGAATGACTTCTCTACATCGCGCTTCCCGAAATACATTCGTGTATGTGTACGACAACATCTGTTCTATTTATCCTTCGTGCGATGACTATCTCTACGCCAAATTGCCTCTCAAGCCCGAAAACCTACGCCCGCAAATTTGCCTCATTGTACATCACACTACGAGAACCTTCGTCAACACAACCGCGTCCAATATAGTCTCAAAAAAGACGAACCTTTGTTCGTATCGTTTGAATCTTCCGAGCTCTTATCGTTTTTACCTGGACGTTCGATCCTCGTGCGTTTGCTGGATGTAGGGAATGGCATGGCATTTGCTTTGTCCAAGCATTTATTGACAGTGTACCTCGTTTTCTTTTTCGAGGGTGTCTGAGAAGCTTGACTCTCCGGGTTATCAGTTGAAGTTTGAGTCTGGCCAGGAACACCTTCAGCATCCCTGCTAACAACGCATAAAACCTAGTCAGCCGAGCGGAAGGTAAGACTTGAAAATCAAGGTCTGGACGTACCCAATGACATTCACATCGTCTGTACCGTGTTGAGTCGACATCGTGCAATGTCTGAGTGGGGGACTCCTGTAAGCATTCAAACGTCCTTTTATACGTGTCCCTAGAACTCTAAGCTTGCGTTCGGCCCTCCTCATGAAGAACTGTGGCCACTGACTAGCCGCCGACGATTCGTGCTGTAACCTCCGGTGCCGAACGTCATGAACTACAGTTAGACGAGCACATACCATGCATCATTGCTTTACGCCCATACGCTATTGTGTGATATTTCACCCTGTTTGACAGATCTGCCTAAAATAACTCATTGTCGTGTGAACAACAAGCTGCCAGATCCTAGTAAGCTTCAACCCTTGGCCTATGGAAACACAATCACGCCCCGTCCTGGTTGTCGGCTGTGCTCTGTCGTAAGACAATGGGAGGAGTTTCGTCAGCCATGTCTCACTGTAGGAAGATAACGACGAAGTCGGTGATACTTACGTAGGCAACCCCAAGCCAGAGACCTCCTTTCATGCAATGAGGACACGTAGTTGCAAGGGACTTCGTGCGTCTTTCAAGATGAAACTCAGGGAACGGCATGAGCGACAAAGTGTTGGTCGAGTACATCATAAGAAAAGAGAAGCGCGTGGCAAAGTAAAGTTCTGATGTTTACTGCACTCGAATCAGAAGTTACGTTGACATTGAAGCCGATAGGAGTGAGGTTGAGCAATCTATGAGAAGGTAAGTAGCAGTGGTTCGGCTGGAAATGCAGAAGATTTATTACTGTGATCGGGCGTGGCCCTCAACCGAATAAAGAGCGTCAAAGTAATTGATATTATAGTTGAAACGCACAATCAGTATCGGCCCTCGTCTAGATCGTGGGTCTGGGGAGTGTATCTAAAGGTACACTCGCGGCGGTTTCCAATCGGCAAGCCATGCCTTGACAAATTCGACTTCTTGACTGTGAATGGCCGCAATAACTGGAGGCTCCTCCGAGTGGTCGACAAGGCCGTTCTCATCCCAGTGATGAACAGTGCCTATGAGAAACAGGGATCAAAAAGATGGAACACTTCAAACAAGATGTCGTACCAGATAGTAGCTTGAAGGGTCTAACGATCGTATCTGGTCGTCCCTTAGCAATGTCGCTGTGAGCAGTATTCGGTCTCCACGGATCCGCTGTAGCACACGAATTTGTTCATGTTCTCGTAGGAGCTGTAAGGTTACTCACCTTGGCCGTCAATGATAGCAAGCCTGTCATCGGCGATGTTGAGCCCGCCGATTGAGTTCACTGATTCAACATCCGGAGTTTCAGGGATAGCGAAATGGTCGCCTGGAGGGTACGCCTGTATTCTCACCCAATTTTTCATCAATATCGATACTAAAATGGGGAACACGATAACAACTAACAAACTTGCATATTTGGCTGGCGTATTCCAAAGTTTGGGTACTAGAGATGATACGAGGATGGTCAGGTGGCGGAGCAGTCTACAAGCTTCGTAGTTAGAGAAACAAAACAAAACTTCCAGAGAAACAGGCTGCTTACGGTAAAGAATCCCCATTGAGTACACACTTGGAATTGCCAAGTACGCCATGTCTGAGATAAATCGCTTTGGGTAAAGTCCGCTGGATTGAATGTTCCAAAGCACTGAGATAGGTCAGCATCCCTCAAACTAGAACTAGAACTGTGAAAGTACGTACTTCGTCCTGAGAAGTTCCTTGAGGACACCGAGAGGCTGTGGTCTGTACGAGTATAGCCGCAATTTTAGAGCGATTTATATAATACTTTTGATGGGCCTTACCCTGTTAATGTATGACGCGTAGTTCAGCGTCGCGTTACTGACGTTAATACCCGGAGCTATTTCCGCCGTTCCATTACTCGGGACCCCTAGGGCTGCACAGAAATTGGTAAATGCGGTAGTAGAAACCGATGGGTCCCAGTTTGTGTCCTGCCAAGCCCCAAGAGGAGACTATAAAGAACTCAGCAGCCGTAGAGATAACCCGTGTCTGCTCGAACTCACAGAGATCAGGGAACCAACGTCGGCATCATGGGTGACGTTTGGTAAACCGTAGAGCGTCTTGATAGCCTGGCGGGTTGCGTTCGAATTCTGCAGTAAACCGTCGAATTCTTCCACTGCGGTCTCGAGTTGTTTGACACAATTCGCAGGAGCAAATTGTCGAACAATGTCCATATACTGCCAGTCTGATACAGTAGCGTATACAACGCCGCTCGATGCGATAGCGCCATAGACCAGATCAGGGTAGAGCACTCTCATATGTGCGGAGCGAGCCCCAGCGTAAGAACCCTAAAAAACCATTTTTCAATGGGCAGCGCAAGGAATATTGCGAGCTACGTACTCCGTAGTATATCCAAGGGGTTCCGGGAGAGGTGATATTTTCCGACAACCCTGGAATCTGGACATTCGCCATAAAGTTGGCAGAGTCAGCTAACGCCTGTTCGTTATTTAACCATCTGACGGTGAAGAACATCAGCTAAAGCCCGGAGATGTCTAAGGAGTTACCCACCGGAGAGAGTCAGTTGTAAAGTTCGCCACAGGGATCGACTTCCCGTAGTAGCGGTGCTCAAGCACTATCCCAAGGCCATTGGTAGCGTTGGCTAGAATCTGGACAATACCCTGCTGCAGGTAAGGCAATCGTCCCTGTCCACTACTCTCACCGGAGTCTAGCACAATGACGGGACCACCAGGCTTGTAGTACCTGTCATCTACCCAGTATCGCTGCTGAAAAGAGAATCCTGTGTCTTCAAAGTGATCCAGGGGTTGAGTAAAGTTGAACTGCGGAAACGTCGGTGCTGCTGTCAGGATAGCTGGTCCATCGGTCTCGGGAGGAGGGGTAAGCTGGCTTAATCTTGATAACTTGACACTTTGTGCAGGGTTAGACAGGGAAAGGGCTAACGAATTCCTAGCGAAAAAAGTAAGGAGATGGACCGTCGATACAACGACAAGAGCAAGCATTGCGGGGAAGAATTCTGTGCGGATTATCGAGAACGCCTAGCTATTGGGCCGGCTTATAACCCAGATCGGCTTCGAAGTAAAAAATAAAGAAAGCTTTCACCATGTGCTGGAATTGTAAGATCCTAGATAATGATCGTCGTCAAACAATTACAAAAGGGTTGTGTGCACATGCGTATCGAAGATAGAACCTACCTGACACATGCTCTTCCCCGCCGGAAAGCTGTTCATGAGATCAATCTACGCATGTTCACCAAGAACCCAACCAGACTTATGACGAGATAGAAGCGAGGCTCTCGCTTGAACGTAAATCCGATAAATATCCAAGAAGCCCGTGGCATATAAACGCACCATGCATCGCACAGCACGAAGGCGACATCTTGCGCACATCGACCCACATAACCGGTTGCAAACGATCAGCCTAAAATATAGCAGCTGTCCATTACGTAGTTTGCAACTGAAGCTCAAATTGAATTTCCTATCAGAATCGTCAGAATTCTACGTATACGGATCCGGTGGTAGAAAAATATCGATACACACTTAGCAGCAATCCGCCAGGAGCCAAAGCACATCTCTAGCGTGTTCGCGGAAACTGGCAGCCGATATGGCTGTATATTGAGACGTGGTATCGAAGTGTCCGCATAAAGAGTTGTCTTTTTTACATGTTGGAAGAAATGTGCGAGGTATGGCGAAGCGACGAAACATCTTAGTAGCTCACTAATCAAAGCAAAAAAATATGTAAGGACCTAATGAGAGGAGAGCCTAACAGAAATACGTAGCGTAATTGTTGCAGCAAGTAGTAATAACGAGAAACGATTGCGGACCACAGCAGAGAACTGTATTAAATTACCCATGAAGAGAACGTGTTTGTGAGATAAAGATCATAGCTTGAGTTCTGTCAATACCCGACGCGCCAGCATATGATATTGCCAGCCGTCTCCCGAAAGACGGCGGAAGTGGATGCCGTGGAACGGGAGTAGAGGTACCTATGACAAGATGAGATACGAAACTAAACACTTAGAACTCGACTCACCTTTACAATATTAATTTCGAAGCGTACAGCAAGTGAGTTGGCTCCGATAGTCTCGAAAATTGCTGGATGAGCTTGGCCTGTAGGCAGGGGAGTTAAAGGTGTTTGAGGAGCTGCCGCATAATCCCGAGGTATTGGCGGGAGGATCTTCGACGCGGCAGGGGA